ATATATATATATATATACACACACACACACACACATATATATATATATATATGGAGCTCTGATAGCATAGTGGTTATGAGTCGGGCTGCTAACCTCTAGGTCAGCAGTTCGAAACTACCAGCCATTCCTCAGAAGATGGATGAGGCTTTCTGCTCCCATAAAGATTTACAGCCTCGGAAACCCTGCGCAGGGTCGCTATATACAGGCACACACACACAAATTTTCCATATAATTTCAGAGGTTTGTGGTTCATGGTTCCTCTTAGGGACTCCCTGCTCTGATCCTGAAAGAAACTAAGACACTCTTGCAAAGGCCAGCTCACTAGATTGGTAAGCAGAAAGAACCCAGCATGGTACTAACAAACAAACAAACACTGCCATCAAGTTGATTCCAACTCGCACTGACCCTAAAGAACAGAGAAGGACTGATCCTTTGAGTCTCCAAGACTTTCTAAGACTATAAAACTTTATGGAAGTAGATAGCCTCATCTTTCTCCTACAGAATGACTGGTTAAGTTTGAACCACCAACCTTGTAGCTGGCAGCCATGCTTAACCCACTGTGCCATCAGGATACAACACTACCCATACCCACTGTCACTGAGTGGATTTTGAGTCACAGTGATCCTGTATAGAATTTCCAAGACTGTCAATATTTACAGAGGTAGATCACTTCACCTTTCTCCTGAGGAGAGGCTGGTGGATTTGAACTGTGGACCTTGCCATTGCCCAACACCAGTAAGACCTAAAAAGTAAAAACTTTGGGAGGCAAAGGAGGAATAGGTAGAGAAGAAGTAGGTAGGAATACCTGAGAGACAGAAATTAGAATAAAGGAGTCAGGAGTCAGCATTTTTCATTGGGTTGGGGAATGAGCCACATGCAAATGGGTTACAAACTGAATTCAAATGAGCCTCTGGTCTTTGTGCTCTCAGCGAAAAGAAGCACTTTGGGCACTTCATAAATAATCCAATTGCCTGAATCACCATATGTGGCCAGAATTAAATGAGCAGGATAAAAAAAATCAAAGTACTATCCTCATAGTTACATGTATTTATCAATCCACAGTTCAAAAGGTTCTCCCAGCTATTAGCTTATTTAACCAGGCTTAGGAGTTTTACCATCCTAATTTTACAAATGAAGAAACTGAGGCTCAGAAAGGACAAGTGACTTGCTCAAGGTCACACAGTAAGCAAATGGCAAAGTCAGGTCCTCCCTCTGATTGTGGCCACTGCTGTGGCAGGTGTAGTAGCTCCTACCCTCCAGCCCCTCACCCCTCCTTGCCCAACTCCAACGGGAGCCAATGCTGTCCAGGGTAAGAGTGAGGGAAGAGCAGAAGCAGGGAGGAGAGGTGAGTGTCAGTCAATTCTCAGAGGGAGAGAAGGAGCCTAAGGCCCACCTTGCTCATGTCCTTGAGCTCCTCCTCCTGCTCCATCCTCAGTTTGTTGGCTCTCTGCAGGAGGTTCTGGGCCCTCTCCTTGGCCACTTCCTCAGAGTCACTGAGCTTCTTGTTGCTCTTGCACACCATTTCCTTCTGTTTCATGATCTTCTTGCGTGTTGTCACTGCATCCTAAGGGAGACCATTCCTACAATGTGATTTCTGCCTCATCCATCATGCCATCAAAATCCAAAAGGTTCACAGCTTGGCTGCACTCTCACAGCTGCCCTTAACCCCCATTTGCTCCCCCAGTTCTGATATGTCACTCTGACCCCCGTTCTGCAACATACACGTTCACTCCCTGTTTCAGTGTCTCCTAACTAGAGAAGTGTGGCCCCTCCCCAGCACATTTCTATTCTGCACCCCCACCTCCTCTGCAGAGATCAGGGCTGAAGTTAATTAACTACCATGATGGCTTCTTTCTCCATCTTGAAGGCCTGCTCCTTGGCTTCAAGTTCTTCCCTGGTCAGGATGTGGGATGCCCACTTGATCCGCTCAAACTCCTCAGAGCTGATGATAAGGGATTCCCCAGAAGGATCCTCTGTGGGGACACTGACACATGGAATGAACAGAGTTAGGGAAAGAGAGGGCAGCTGCTAACATGTTCCAGGCTGTTCTTCCCCTCCCTCATTAGTGCCAACCCTCTGGCTTAGATGCAGCTATGCCAATAAAGACTGCCAACTGCACTGTGGGTCCACTGGGAACACAGGGTCCCAGATGTAGGTGAAGTAGCAGCTCCGGTTAAAAAGAGACTTTTAAAGTACTTTCAAGGTCCAGCTCCTATGTTACCTTCTCTGTGTAGCAGTCTATGACCCCCTCCCATAGACAAAGATGCCACCCCGCAGATCCAATAACTTCCTCCTCCGAGTCCCCATTTCTCCTTGGTTCTTACTGTCTGTATTATTGGCCAATGGTGCAGTATCTGTTTCCTTGGCTAGATTACAAGCTCCTTCAGGGCACGGGCTTTGTCTTACCGACACATTGCTTGGCACACAGTGAGAACCCAAAATAAAGCCTAGTGAATTGAATTTTAAAAATAGATTCTTTCTGGAGGATGACATAAAATGGGCGAGGGGATGCCAGATAACATTGAAATGGAAGGCAGTAGGAAACTTAAACAACCCCATCCATCTAGCCCAGAAAGAAGCTTTGAACCCTAAATATTAATTACAATCTCTGATCAACAGAGACATGTCTATGGTCCTCTCCTTTCTAGCTGCCCAACGCATCCAACAAACCAATAGCTAATTATAATGATTACAAACAAATGACATACATTAAAGATGGGGGAGGGAGGGGTGAAGTAAAGCTGCTTCTGGGTGAGGCAATTTAACAGGTACACGGCAATGAGACGCAGATAGTCTGAGACAGGAAATGAAATCTCATCTAATAAAACCAGTGGTGGGATTCCAGGCAGTAGACAGAATGAGTGAGCGGACTTGGGGAAGAGCCAAGATCTTGTGACTTACTGAGTGGCGTGGCTCAAAACAGCCTTGGACCTGGAATGACCTGCAATGGTCTGAATGAAAGGTAGACACTGGTGCTACATTCAGCAGCCATGAAAAAACACCAGCCACTTTACCTTTGACCTGACCAGAACTAGACCACTCCAAGAAGGAACCTCTTCCCAGACCCCAGGGGTGGCTGCCATGATGCCTGGCTAACCAGACAGTGCTCAATCAGGGGCTGCAGTCAAGCCCAGTTCCCAGAGCTGTGTCCCAGCTGCGCCTCCCTGGCTCATGACACAAGCACCATCTTTTAAGAATTCAAATTTCTAGCATGTGGCGCTAGAGGAGAGAGAACAATTAGAGTCGACCATTAGTGCACGCACTAAGCCACTGAGCAGACAACACTCCTTTATTTCTCATTGCTGAGGGAGACCTACACCCAGGGGCAGGTTATCCAATAAGCACGCACTTACTTGTGTTTACGTAATAATCTGTAGTGAACAATTTCATATGGGTTTCACCCCATCTTTGATATGGTGAAAAATATAAGAAACATTTCACTGAAGATTCAAAGGTAAGCATAAGTAAGCCCATGTTTACCTTGCCTACTGAATACTCAGTTCCTGTCAAGGGTTGTCAATTTGAAAAGAGGCTATGATTCTGTATGACGGTACTATGGGATCAGGAGAAAAACATACGTCAGCCAGATCTAGAAGCAGAATCTTTGATGTGGTGAAAGAATGTGAAACTGTTTACTACAAATTAGAAAGTAAACACACATAAACCCATGCTTACCTTGCTTATTGGGTAATCTGACACTATCTACACCACAAAGGAGGAGCCCAAGCAAGGAGCAGCTCCAGTCAAGAAACAGTATTGAGCTAATCCCAAAGGAACCCTTGTGAATTTCCTCTTCTGGTCTCAGAGTCTGGGAAAGAGTCTAGCAATTACTATCTGGTCAGTTTCCCTTTGCTTCAAATTCTTAACAAGGCAGAAAGGAAATGACTCATCTGGACATTTCCCTTTATCAAGCGGACTAATGGAGACTGAGGGCGGGGACCCTCTGGGCACTCAGTCCCTTAGGTTCCACCAGTAACCAAATCAGTTGCTTTCAAGTAGATTCCAATTTATAACAACCCTACATGTGTACATGTGTCTGAGTAGAACTGTGCTCCAAAGGGTTTCCAACAGCTGATTTATCAAGTAGATCACTAGGCCTTTCATCCAAAGTACCAAGTATCTCTGGACGGACTCAAACCTCCAACCTTTCAGTTAGCAGTCATGCACATTAACCATATATACCACCCTTAGGTACCAAAGCCAGTCAAAGAAAGGGAGGAGAAAGAATATGGCAGTGGCAATGATAGATACAAGAAAAGCAAGAACCAAGAGAGGCCAAGATGGAGAAGAAAGAACAAAACCCATAAAACAAAAAGGGAGAAAATTACTAAGAAAGAAGTGGGAATTGGACTGGTGGAATGAAACCGAGCCAGTTCCCCATATCCCTGAAGAGATCTTCAGAAGTGCAGTCTGAGCCAGAGAGGGCAGGGGCCTTACCCTAGTACTCACATGAGTTCCCGGACCATGTCCCGAGTTATGAGTTGGATGGTCTCCGGCTTGTGTTCCATGCATGATGCCGTGAGAGTTTTCTGAATGATATGCTTATCTTGGAGGAGCACAATAGGGCTGTCACTGGGAGCCTGTGTTAGGAGCTAAGGGGCCAAGAAGGATAGTTTAGAAGTTTGTCACACCACTACTTGTTGGTCAGTCCTAATCCCAAGTCCATCCTGGGGCATCCACCCTTCCAGGAAGCAAGGGAGGCTGGGATTTCCACTCACTCCAGACTATAGGATGGCCAAGAGTAGCCAGGGCACTGAGAAAGCACATGGTGTCTTTCTGCACACGTCAGTGTGTGCTGTACTAACCAGCTCCCCTGAGATGAAGACCTCATTGTAACTTGTGCAGATAAATTCTCCTGGAGGGGTGGGGGAGGGGACAGTTGCTAGTGTGTGTGTACTCCTAACCTAAAATTAATATGAAGGAAAAGCAAATCTTGGGTTTCTAGGTTTTCCTCATTCCATAATTTATGAAAAAAGAACAAAATTCTCTCATTTAGTTCTCACAGTGGGTTTGGAGCACTACTGACCCAGCCTGTGATGTCAAGAATTTTTAATCCTTTCTGATAACAACAACAATGACAAATGATGTACTTTGACTCGTCCCATTTCCCCTCAAAAAATCATATTGAGGGGATTTGAAATGGATAAATGATCTGGCGGAGACTTGTCCTTAAATTTTAGAGTGGTGAGGTGATGCACTGAGAATTCAGCAAGAAGTATATGTTGTTGTTAAGTACCGTGGAGTCGGTTCCGACTCATAGTGACCCTGCACAGGGTTCCCGAGACTGCAAATCTTTACGGGAGCAGAAAGCCTCATCTTTCTCCTGTGGAACAGCTGGTAGTTTTGAACTACCGACCTTGAGGTTAGGAGCCCAATTCATAACCACTACACTATAGATTAGATAAATATTTCACTTTTGTTCCTACAAGTGACTGTGAACGAGAAAATGGAATTGCTTACTTCAGGAAGCTGTTAAGCACAGGAAGAAATTGTGTCTGTTATAGGTGCTGTACCTCTCTCTACTCCTGACTGGAGGCAGGGGGACAGTCCCAATGGAGATACCATTCTGTCCCTAGAACCTCATTTAGCGTAGCCAGTTCCCCTGATTGCTGCTGCCACCTGGTGCCTGGTCTATGCTTCGAGGCGGGCACCATGTTGTGGTGCTACAGGGCACGCCTGCCCCCTACTGCCGGCTAACAGCCTTCCTTTACTGTCAATAAGGTCACAGAAATTGGATCAGCATTGGCATTTTGTTGACTGCCCCCTTTTGCTAGCCATCATGACTACTTGTGAAGACCTTGACCATTTCCTAAGCTACCTTTGCTTTGACTAGAAAACCTCCATGAACCCAAAACAAAAATGTCTGTAAGTGAAACCGCATTCCTTTCATTCTTTCCCTTATCAGTTATAAAAAGTGCTGAGGAGAGGGAGCATTCTAAATAAAAATGCCCGTCTTGAGACCTCTGCAAAGTTCTTTTCAGTTCATAGCAAGGGTGGTATGGAGCAGGGATAGACACCAATTCTTATATTCCCAGCTCCCCACCCCCACCTCTACTAGCATCTCTTTCTTTTCTCCTTCTCTTTTTACTTTCTTAATCTCTCACTAGGAGTCCTGGTATGGTGCTCTAGGGTAAGTATGAGAGTGCTAACCTCAAGGTTGGTGGTTCAAACTTACCAGCAGCTCCTTGGAAACCCGAGACAGGTTCAGTCTGAGTCAAAATCGACTTGATGACACTTAACAATAAATAACAACTAAATAAATAACAATAAATTCTAAACTAAAGGAGCTGCTGATCCCTTCATTTGTATGAGACTTACAAACAAATTCCCTCAGACCTAAATGACTGTTTTGTTGAGCAACCGGGAAAAGAGAACGATTTTATGATTTTATGTTTCACCCTGATGCTGTTCTTGGATGGAGGGGTAAATATGTTATACAGGGTCTACAAAATAGGTCCCCCAAACTGAACCCCACTGTCATCGAGGCAATTCTGATTCAAAGTGACCCTACAGAACAGGGTTCCAAGGCTGTAAAACCTTATGGAACGAGACTACTGTTTATATTTTCCTCCCACAGAGCAACCGGTAGGTTCGAATCACCAACCTTTTATTGTGTAACCGAGTGTTTTAACCACTGCATCATCAGGTCTCACTTAGTAGCTACTGAGATTCTTGCAGCTAAGCCTGCCTTTTGACATAACAGATTTTAAATGTGGGACAGATATGAGGATTTCAAGGGTGGAGGAATCCAGGTGCCCCTGTTTACGTAAGCCCTACTGTATCTGCCTGTGAGAGAGGGATGGCTTGCCCAGGGTTAGCTTGGTACTGAGCCTTGTGACTTCTAGGTAGCAGCTACCTGGAGGGGTATGGTAAGAGTTACCTTAATGCCGCCGAAGAGGCTTTCATCCACCTCGGAGCTCACAGCTTTGGTTCGATAGCGAGTTTTATTTCTTGACCTGTTGGAAGTGGTAGAAGCAGAACTCAAGACACCAGTTGTGCTCAACGGCTGGAGGAAAAGGCAGAAAGTTTGGGGTCATTAGTACTGAGTGACATCTGACATCTGGGCACAGCCCCTGCTTAAAGACTAGGGGAACACAGAATCCCCACAGATGCAGAGGGGTCTCTGGGTGGGAGCAAGACACACTAACTCTGTGAAAAGCAGCATTATCTGCAGTCTCTGTAGCTGAGTGAGGAAAGCCAAATAAGTCATGTGACAGGAAGGAAGGATGAAGCATATGGGGATGGCAGGAAGAGGGAAACAACAGTTGCACCTCATTTCCTGCTGTTGTTCTTAAGTGCCATCAAGTCGGTTCCAACTCATAGTGATCCTGTATAGGATTTCCAAGGAGCAGCTGGTGAGTTTAAACTGCCAACCTTGTGGTTCGCAGTCCAGTGTTGATACTATAGTGCCACACCAGGAGGACCCTGTTTTCCACAAGGAGAACCTTTTGTGGGCAATTTGGATGTGTCTACAAACCCTATACAGGGTCACTATGAATCAGAACTGACTCTACGGCAATTAACAACAACAAAACCTGAAACTGTAGAATGCCCTCTTCACTTCCAAACTTCACCTGAATTCCAAGTCCCCTTCACAAATAACACTCCCATTCCACCACCTTCCTGTCTCCACAATCTGAGAGTTATAGAGGAGACCAGAGAATCTAAAGGATGGGTAAGCATCTTGGCCCCTGCTGGGTACATGGTTGGTGCTCAAATCAACTTGAGTGGATAGATGTTAAATGATTATCAGCTACAATCAGGCGAACAAGTTCATCAAGTGCACAATGTGGATCTTTCACTTCCATGACCCCTTTGATACATATTAAGTTCTTTTCATAACCATCAAGCATCTTCCTGGGTTTTGAGGATGTCCCCTTCTAATGAGTCACGGGAGACAGAGCTCATCTCTGACTACAGGAGCTGAGAACACCAAGTCTTTGCCTTGTCAGACTGATCAAGGGACCTAGGCTTAGCCAATCAGATCATCCAACCCTGAAAATAAAATAGGGTCGTGATGCAAAGGAGCTCTGGTAGCATAATGGTTACAAGTCGGGCTGCTAACCTCACAGTCAGTAGTTCAAAACAATCAGCAGTTCAGCAGGAGAAAGATGAGGCTTTCTGCTCCCGTAAAGATTTACAGCCTCAGAAATCCTACACAGGGTCACTATGAGTTGGAATTGACTCTGCGGCACACCACCACCATCACCACTACCATCAGTGATGCAAAGAGTAGGAACTAGGAAAACCTTTCTGGCAATGTCAGTATTACCCAGTGCCTGGGGCAATGCTGATAAGGGCAACAGCAACAGCACCCTAGGTCCAAAGAAGGCACATCTAGGGTCCTGTCAGCCCCGTTCTAGGTCATAAATTTAGCCTTGGTTCCAGCTGCAGAGCCTCTCTTTGTTCCTGCCTATTTTCCAAGTCTAGTTTCCCAGCTGTGGTATAAATCTATTTAAGATTAACACATTCCTTTCTACTTAAATTGGAGTCTGGCTCTGTGACTTGTAGCCAAGAAACCTGACTAATACAGTCTCTGTTCCCAAAGGTTAGTCCAGCTTCAGCTCACCCCCAAAAGTGGACATCTGTCTCCAGAAGGTAGTTTCTGCAAGAACTACTGGGCAACAGCCTTGCTTAATCTAAAGCTAATCCAAAACTCAGTTTGAAGGAGCCCAAGACTCCCACAGATCTCCAAGCTGGGATATTTAGGACAAGGTGCTGAACACACTGGGTCTTTCCAAGTCTTAGAATCAGCGATCATCAACAGGACAGAGTGAACAGGGAACAGGACCATAGTCACTAAGCCCCAGGCAATGTTTTGAAACATCTCAGTGACCTGCTATTACCCCAACCAGATATCCTCCAGCACCTGCCCCACCTGCATCAGGCTTTCACACTAACTTGGGCAATTATTTTCCAGCTGGCTCTGTTGCCTGTCATCAGCTCTGCTGTATGTGCTCTTCCCCTCTCTGCCTGGTAAAGCTAGCCAAAGTGGCTCCATCAGCCCCAATGCAGCAGGGCAGAAAAGCTTGGATTTATTAGAGGGTAAATATAGCAGCCCTAAGGATGCTTAATAACAAGGTTATAATATGGTGGGTGGTGAGCAGCTGCTCTCCTTCCCACTGAAAATAAAGTAAGAGGAAATGAATGGAAATTCTAACAGGCTAAGCACTGGAACAACTGAAAAGGTAGGAGACATTGGATATTGAGAGGTGCTGTGAGTTCTGTGTATAATTAAGGAAAAAGGCACAGTGCCTGGCACATCGGAGCTTAATATGTGTTTGATGAAGAATGAAGGCATGAAACCAATGAAGCTGGCTTCTCAAGGCACTCCACTACTTCACATTTTCCGTATCATGGATACAGTCTGCACTGTGGAAAACAACGTATGGGAACGGGCTTTGAAGTACAGATGGAAAGGATTGTTTTGTACTCGTTTTCCTGTTTCCTTCCCAAGGCTCCCAGGGCTTTTCCCATGGGCTTAGTGTCCACCAGACTGCAGGTTCCTCCAAGGCTAGGGTCACCTTGCCTCCTGCCTATACTCCCTAGGTATCAAGGTCAAGAGGAAGTCACAACAAAAGATACTTGACTGTCTGAGCCTAGAAGTCAGAACAGAGGAAGAGAAGCAGATAACCACAGAAATGTGGTCACTGGGCAAGGCAGAGGAAAGCACGATGTCCAGGGTTGGGTGGTTGGGAAACCTTATTTGAGAAATGCTGACTCTGAAGCCACAAGCCTTACATCAGGGTTAGAATAACCAGTTTGGCCAAGAGTAACAAGAAGAATTAGGGCAGTCACTATGTACAGCAACAAGGGGAAAAAATGAAATGAGTAGAAATAGAAAGTAAATCCCTCTGAGGCAAAGACAGTAGCCAAGAGGCACTTTAGGGTAGTGAAGGGTTGGTTTTATTTCTTGCATGATCAATAAATATCCCCAAGAAGCAGAGCAGTACCCAAATAGAAGTGTGCCTAGACCTGCTTGGAGAATACAGCTCTTGAAGGGAATGAAGAGACTAGCAAAAACTGACTTTTAGCTCTGAGGTGGCAAACAGGGTCGGGGAAGACAAGGACTGAGGGCAGATAATGATGCCAGGCCTGCTTCAATATGTTCATTTCGATGACCCAGCTGAATTTGTCTTTCTTTATCAACCATCTCAACCCAGGGACACAAGAATTCAACCACAGCAAAGGGCTCTGTGAGATTCTGACACAGAGAGATTAGCTGGTCATGTGGTTGATGATTTAGTTACAGTCATTGGTATTGGACAGTCTCCATAACATATTTAGCTTTAAAGAAAGCAGATTGTAAGAAACATTGAAGCATTTGAAATATTCACAGGGAGAACATGCACCCAGTATGTATTATTGATAGAATGATTATGAAAATGTTTAAAAGTAATTCCAGATGAATTTTACAATCTTCAGATATTTCATGTCTGCAACAAGTTACTATTTTTATGACCAGAAAAAAAAAAAAAAAAGGCAAACTTTTTATTGAAAAACAAAACACAGGGCCTAGTGGCCTGACTCTGAAGACAGGAGAGGCTGGTTCTTAAAAGCATTGTATATCCAGGGATTCAGGATGTTTAGCTCAGATCCAGCAAGACAAAGCTGGAACAGGGCTGGAACAGATCAGTGTGGAGTTTCCATGACGTAACTGCAACACCTGTCAGCTGAACAAAGACAAAGACATGTCCTTTCCTAAATGTCCTTTCTGCCCTAGGATTTCGTTCCTCTTTCTCATAAAAGTGCATTGCAAGCTGGCAAATTCAGGCTTCAAACTCTTGGTTTGATTCTACTTCCCTTTCTGTGGGCCTTGCTTACTAAGAAGACGGGGATTCCCATGCACCAAGCACCTTGACTTTTACTCTGAGTTAACTTTGTCCTCTCCTGAGACTCAGTCGGCCCACTGTAGGATGCCATCTGAAAATGACATTCTGTTCAGTCCCCACCCCACTTTCTGAAGGATATTGTTACTCATTGTTTTTGTAAGAGTTCCCCCACCATTGGTCCCTGCTCCTCCAAATGTTGTCAAAAGTGACACCGTACACACCTGCCAGAAGAACCGAAGCTCACTGCCGTCAAGTCTGACTCATAGCGACCTTATAGGATACTCCCTAGGGTTTCCAAGGCTATACACAGTCTTTACTAAAGCAGACTGCCACATATCTCTCTGGTGGAACAACTGGTGGGTGCAAATCTCTAACCTTTCAGTTAGCAGCTGAGCTCTTAACCACTGTGCCACCAGGGTTCCCTGCCAGAAGTGCAGCGATCACTAATTTGACCTATTGGTTCTCAAAGGTGTTTATGTGCCCGTTTCTGTCTGAGAGATTTCAGAAGGGCTTGGTCAGCCTACCAAACCTTGGCCTTGAACAGTTCCTGAGTGGAAACTCCCTGATCTGGGTGCTCCCGAGTCCACAAGTGTAACTCAGGGAGCTCACTGATTAAGGAGGACTTTGAAATATGAAAGAAGTCCCTGGGTGGTGCAAACGATTAAGTGCTAGACTACTGACCAATAGGTTGGTGGTTCAAAGCTACCCAGAGGCACCTTGGAAGTGAAGTCCTGGAGATCTGCTTCCAAAAGTTCACAGCTTTAAGAAACCTATGGAACAGTTTCACTCCACACATATGGAGTTGCCATGAGTAGGAACTGATTTGACAGCAACTAACAACAATGACTAATATGAAATTTTTATAACATGAGGAAAAGGGAACACTCTCACTGTATGCCGTTAGGTGTCAAACCTGATTCAAGGTACTCTCATATACATTCTAGTACATATATGACTGCACTTGTAAAGCTCTAAGGGGACATGGGGACAGTGAATCAAAATGTTTAACTGAAAGGGGATCCATACCACCACACTATAGGGAGTCCTCAAATGTTGGGAACTACTTTTTGGTAGAGAGTTATTTATTTCATAATTGACAATGCTTTTCAGAAATCTCTACTTGGGTGCAATGAATTAAGCCCTCAGAAAAGCCCCACTGTAATTTCTG